GAAGAGGACAGATAGAATTGACTCGGACATTTTTAGATCCATATTCTGCCGCGAGTCCTTTCGTAGCCTATATCAAAACACCATATTAGCAGAAACAACCACAATCACAGAATAAAAGAAACACTCACATTAACAACAGCACCCTTACTAGCATTATACCAAACCAGACCCGGACGAGGTCTCGTCGCCCCAATCGACGCGATATTGATCATCGATCCACCCTCCCCGTGATTAACAACATGTGGAATAAAATGTTTCGTCGCAAAGAAGATAGATTTAACATTCAGGTTGAAAACCCTATCAAATTCATCTTCGGTGACATCCAACGTGGGCTAGATTCCCAAAACACAAAGTCAGTTTCTCAAATTCCACATACTCATACTCATCTCTCCACCCCTCCATCTCCAACTTCCCTCCTTCATTCCCGCCCCATCCACATCCACATACCTTATTCCTATAACTCCCCCCCGCATTATTAACACAAACATCCACTCTCCCCCACCTCTCCACCACCCCTCTACACAACCCCTCCCACTCCGCCTCCCTCGTCACATCCATCTTCACAAACACCATACTCTGGGGCCACGCACTCGCCACGCGCTCGCCACCCACCGCATCGATATCCGCAATCACCACTTTACAACCTTCTTCCGCGAAGCGGCGCGCGATGCCGGCGCCGAAGCCCGAGCCGCCGCCCGTGACAATCGCGACTTTGTTTTGGAGGCGGGTGCCGAGGATGGGGGGTTCGGTCATTTTGTTTATTCTTCTTCGTCTTCTTCTTCTTCGTTCGACAGGTTAGAAAGGAGTAGAGGAATAATATATTGATGAGCGACAGACAGATTTACCCTCTTGATTACCCTCTTGATTAGAAAATTAAACAACAACCTCTCACTCTCAAACTCAATCAAAGCAAACAGTGAAAAGTAAAAAGTAAAAAGTAAAAAGTAATTACATACATACAAACAAATTGACCAGATAAACCTACCCACCTACCTACCTCCCTAGTACAGACGGGAAGGTGCGGGGGATAGCCACGAAATGAGGGGTAAGCGTCACGAGACTTCTCGATTGGTGTTGCGCAACTATCCAATACTCCAATGAGATCGAATATGACCTTTTCTTGTAAGTACTTGACTCAAACTGGTTGACTTGGCTCCAATAGTAAGCTATCCAAATATCAACGTTTGGTATCCAGTGAAGTTCTTCCACACATCTAACCTCGCAGCACTTTCATTCACGAGATCATGAAGCTAATTGCTAGACACACGGACAACTCACAGGTGTGCAATAGTTTTGAGCAAAACCATCACTATTTTGTGTTTACTCACTTAAGAAAGGGAGACACGAGCTTTCAGTTGAATAGGAAGTAGGTAATAGGTAGTTAGGAATGTCGTTCATCAATCGAAACTAGTCACGACTTAATGTATCGCATCGTAGCACATTATTTCGTAACCTTATTTTTTCCCCCATCATCATTATCATCATAACCATCTTTTTCCCCCCAAAGCATATCTACCTGAACAGCCATTCAGGCATATTCTCCATCGTCCATCATCCTTAACGCCCTTATATCATTTCTACTTACGCCTCTTCTCCCTTCTTCGCAGCCAATGGTTCAATATTCCAAATCGACTCAGCGTACTCATTAATACATCTATCACTACTGAAGAAACCCATTCTAGCCACACTAGTAATAGTCTTTGTAGTCCACTCGTCTTGATTCTTATATGCTTCGTCCACCAAAGCTTGAGTTTGGTTGTAGCTGTTGAAATCATCGGAAACGAGATAGTAATCACCATGATCTTTAATAGCACCAACGAGAGCACCGAATGCATTAGCATCCCCGAACGTACCCTTTTGAATAGCCTCAAAGACTTTCTGAAGGTCAGGGTCAAGTTGAGTAGAGCCGTAAGTGTGAGCATGGCGAAGGTCATCAACATCTTCAGCTAAGTTACCAAAGAGGAAAATGTTGTTCTCTCCAATCTCACGAGTAATTTCAATCTGAAGTTTGATTAGTGAGATGCGCGATAAATACAATAAGGGATAAACTTACATTCGCACCATCGCAGGTACCAATAATCAATCCACCGTTCAACACAAACTTCATGTTTGAGGTTCCACTGGCTTCTGTACCTGCTGTCGAGATGTGTTCGCTGATATCACTTGCCGGGCAAATCATCTCGGCCTTGGATACATTGTAATCTTCTAAGAAAATAACCTTCAGGAGATCTCCAACGTCTTTGTCATTATTGACAACAGAACCAACGTTGTTGATAAGATGAATGATAGTCTTTGCCATCCAGTAGCCAGGAGCAGCTTTTCCACCAAAGATCGAAACACGAGGTGCCAACTTTTTGCGCTCTTCTGGACTCATAGCTTTGATAGTCAAGTATCTGTGAATGACACCAAAGATGTTCATCTGTTGACGCTTATACTCATGTATACGCTTGACTTGAATATCAAACAAGGCAGCTGGGTTGACAGTAACATCAGTAGTTGTCTTGATGTGCTTCGCTAAGCGAACTTTGTTCGCATACTTGATTTCCTGCCACTCTTTCTTGAAAGTCTTATCATCTGCGAATGCTTCAAGCTTGCTCAGAAGAGTAAGATCCTTGAGGAACTCATAACCACCAAGCTTGCTGGCAATCAACTCAGACAATCTAGGGTTGGCTTGGTGAAGCCATCTTCTAGGTGTGATACCATTGGTGACATTGGTGAACTTGTCAGGGCCAAAGATCTTGACAAAATCCTTGAAAATGGTGGTCTTGATTAAATCAGAGTGAAGTTCAGCCACACCGTTAACCTTGTGAGAACCAACGATAGCCAAGAAAGCCATGCGAACCATCTTTGGTTGAGATTCTTCGATAATCGAGACCCGGCCGAGGAGATCTCTCTCACCAGGGAACTTACGTTCCACGGTTTGTAAGAAAAACAAGTTGATTTCATAGATAATTTGAAGATGTCTGGGGAGCAAGTTCTGGAAAAGAGGAACGGACCACTTTTCGAGAGCTTCAGGAAGAACAGTGTGATTTGTGTAACCAAAAGTCTTCGTGACAATTCCCCATGCCTCATCCCACTCAAGACCTTCAAGATCAACAAGAACACGTTGAAGTTCAACAACAGCAAGAGTTGGATGAGTGTCATTCAACTGAATAGCAACTTGTTCTGGGAATTGCTTCCAAGCACGCTTAGACTTCTTGAATCGACGAACAATATCATATAATGATGCAGCGACCCAGAAGTACTGTTGCTTCAAGCGAAGCTCCTTTCCACGCTCGAGATTATCGTTAGGGTATAAAACAGCACTGATAGTCTCGGCACGTTGTTGATCGGCCACTGAACTTTCATAGTCACCACTGTTGAACTTCTGGAAGTCGAATTCACCGCTAGCAGCCTTGCTAGACCAAAGACGTAAGTTGTTGGTGGCGGGAGTATCATAACCTGGGATTGGAACATCATAGGCTACGGCCTTGACAATTTCTCCGCCCTCCCATACAGTCTTCGATACTCCCTGTTCATCTTGATACTTTCTGACATGGCCATAAAATTGGATCTGAAAACCATTAGCTCTACACGAAATAACTTCTGGGCAAAGGCAAACTTACATCAACAACAATATCATGTCTTGGGAATTCCCAAGGATTGAAGTCAAGCCAGTAATCTGGGACTTCGACTTGATATCCATCTACAATTTCTTGCTTGAAGATACCATATCTATATCTCAAACCATAACCCCATGCTGGATAGCTCAAGGAAGCAAGGGAATCCAGGAAACAAGCTGCCAATCGACCAAGACCACCATTACCAAGGGCAGCATCATGCTCTTGGTTGATGATATCTTCGATTCTGAAACCAAGATCCGAAAGACCCTCTGAAGAAAAAGTCAGAATTTACACTTCTAGAATATCCTCACAAGTCATCCAACATACCTTTAGCAACATTCTTCAACCCAACATTCAACATAGCATTGTCGAGCGCTCTCCCCATCAAAAACTCCAAACTCAAGTAGTACACACGTTTACCATCGGCAAAAGTTTGTCTCTGTTGAGTACGATTCCACGCCGTAATCAATTTATCTCTGAAAGCCAAACTGGCCGCGGCATATGCAGCAGTTTCATCACAGTTGAACATACTACGAGCCAAGGTAGTTTCAACATGACGAACAACCTCCTTCTCAAAGTCCTCCTTGGTCTCAAATCCTTTAGCAGTATATTTCTTCCATGCTTCTCGTTGAGGTTCAGGAATCGATGCTATACAGAGAGGGCAAATAATTAGCGTGAATTTCAACACGGCATCGAAACGAGAAAGATATCAGCAGAACCAAAGAAATATAACATACCTTCTACACTTTTGATTTCCCCAGCACCAAAACCGGTAAAGGTACGCCTATGTTTAGGTCTTGTAACGCCAGCAGGACCAACAGGACCTTGGAGCTCACTAATCGGAGCACCTGTAGAGGGACGTCTTTCTCTAGTTGCAGTTGCCATCTTGAATCTCAACCTGTGCAGTCTTCGTGACGCTTTTCAATACGCAGATGTGCCGAGTGATTGACGAGCAAGAGATGAGAAAGAAAAAGTTGCAAGAACTTGAGGGAGAAGTTGAATAAAAACTATCTGCTCAGGCGATCGGCTAGGTATGTATGTATGTATGTATGTCTGTATGTGAATGTATGTGGTGAATGCTCGTTCGTTGATGTTGATGCGGGGTTAATCACCGATCGGGTCCAGCTCAGGTAATTCTAATTGCGGGGGATGCGAGTGTGCTTGGAGTGACAGGTGATTCGAATTAATGTACTATGTACCGGTATGTACCTGGTATGTATGCAAGTAAAGTAAGAGATATTATCCCAAACCAATCTTCTCTGATAAATAGAGAAGATTCGTGGTGCGAGTTATATAAGTTGTGTGATATAATAACCAACCGATAGACAAACCAACAAGCAGAAGAAACGACAGACAGACAGGTAGGTACCTAGTTCTCGTATATATTCGGAAAGAAGCTCATTGATATAAATATCCCCATTTCACAAGTAGCTCCTTCCTGGAAATCCTCCCCACCATGACCATAACCATGACCATGACCATAACCATGACCATGACCATAACCATGACCATGACCATAACCATAACCATAACCATGACCATAACCACAACCCATTCCTTCCCCTCCCCCACCATAGCTTCTTCTGGATATCTTCCCGGACATTTCCATCGATCTCGAGAAAAACATACGATCCCACCCAACCTCGAGCCTACCGACCTGAGCCTACCACGAGCCTGAGTAACAACAGGGGCCTCTCTCTCCCCAGCTAACCCGCCGACCATCTCCACAAAAACAGTCTGCACCAATTAAACTCCCCGCGCCCCACTATAACGAGCTACACACATGCAAAGCAAACCCAATACTTTATACATCGCACTAAAAGCAAGTATGTATGTCCTCGAGTGTGTGCGGAGGATGTATGAGTGTGGGGTGCAAAGCATCACCATTTCCCGGTTTTCTCCCAGAGCACAACTGTTCATCGTACGTATGTGAAATGGCATGTTTATGACGCTCTCCCAACTGTTGTTTCCCATCTGCACAGGATGTAATCCATATCAGGCAGTATATAGTACATAGGTAGATGTTGTATATTCATTTATTTATCTATTCATCTATTCATCTATCAATCCATTTATCCATCTCCCCATCTCCCCATCTCCCCATCAACCCATCTCCCCATCAACCCATCTCCCCATCAACCCATCTCCCCATCAACCCAACCATCCACCCTCCATCCTCTCCCAAGAAACACCTACCTACCTACCTAGTACCTAGTACATACCAGGCCAGGCACTCAAAGTAAATACACACACTGTGCTCAAGCCACACCACAATAAACATCTCTCTCCTCTCTCCTCTCTCCTCTCTCCTCTCTCCTCTCTCCTCTCTCCTCTCTCCTCTCTCCTCTCTCCTCTCTCCTCTCTCCTCTCTCCTCTCTCCTCTCTCCATAGCGGGATATTTACAAACGCCATAAACTCTATCTCCTTCACATGATACATGCTACATCCAAGATACATACATCCAAGATACACACACACATCCAAGATACCTACCGGTACCACACATCTTCCGAATCTCAAATCCTCAATTCTCAACTTCATCCCTCCTCCACCCCTCCACCTCTCCACCTCTCCATCTCAACAAATTCCAAATCTCACCCTCCTCTCCTCTCCTCAGCTTCAAGCCCGGCTTGAATCCCCAAGCCCTGCGGACTGCAAACCCCGTGTACAGTCATATGCGTTCAGTTAAAAGTGAATTGTCAGTAAAGTCTAGATAAACATGAATCAGAACTACCAAATATAATATACATCACAAATATGTCGTGATGTTGTAAGACTACTTCGTATTCATATGTATTATGTTTAATCATCATTCACACAAATTCTCCCATCGACATCTCATCACATTATGTCATGATGAATGGTTATCGTAAAATCTTTTCAATAATTACTGTTCATCCATGTGTCAAGATAATCGACACTGAACTGATATGATCGCTGGCTATCAACTTTCTACACTGTCATTGTAATTTCAAATCCATCTTTCACCCCCTTCCCCTTCCCCCAATATGACAGTATCCTTATTGTAAACCTGCAAATGCTAAGACGCTGAACCCAGACCACCTACCCATTTCGTCCGAGTTTTTCCCAAATACCAATCAATCGATTTCCCATAGACCATTTGGCCCTTAAACTCCTCACAATTGCAATATGTAATCCCGCACATATGTAAAAGTCATGGATGTAGTACCCTCACCCCGCCAACCTAATTCAAACGACATAGAAGTCATTGTTCGTGCAATGCCACCCCCTTTCCAGTCATCCAAGCCCAGATCATGCAGCATACACCTTGTAATCTTTGTCACACATCCTTCCCTAAAACTCCTAAACCAAACGCCAGTTTCCAGTCACTATCAAATGGATTATATAAATTAAGACATTATTCATCATGAGCTATACTCTTATCTGATTAGAGTATGCCCGAGTCTTTGAGAGCATTTTGTAATATGGTCTCTTTAACGGCAGCGAACACTAGTCGAATGTTCGAAGTATCAGTAGCTTGTGTGAGACTATTGAATGTTAGAGGTGTAGTCTCGAGGGTCATTCAAAGAAGACTTACTGTGGATATAGATTCAGATGAGCTCTATTAACCTGATTGAATCTCCATAGTAGATACTTTGCTGCTCTATTCAAGTCGTTTCCACCAGAATAATCTGGGAAGTAGGTTTCGAGAGGTGATCGACCAAGCTTTTGTTTGAACAAATCAACCTTGTTGAGAAAGAGAATGATACTGGTACGCATGAACCATCTTGAGTTGACAACCGAGTCGAATAAGACGAGACTCTCCATCATACGATTCTGGTGTAATGTTAGGATGGTTATTAAACACTAGAGGGTAATTCTGACCTGATTACTCTCCTCCAAAAGAACCTGATCGTATTCACTTAACGCAACGCAAAATATGATTGAAGTTACATTCTCGAAACAATGAATCCACTTCTTTCTCTCACTTCTTTGGCCACCAACATCAAACATACTATCATAAAGTCAGTATCGAGTGTTTGAAGCGGGCAGATTATACTGACTGAATACTCAAAGAGCCCATGGTGAATCTTGTCTCGTAAATACCAGTTGTTTTTGTTCTAGCTCTCAAAACATCGGCTTCGGTAGGAATATAATTGTGTGCTGCAATCCTTCCAGCCTCTTCGAAGAAACTATAATAGGTTAGTATCATTGTCGATACATGGAGAATATGTGGTACGCACTATGGTGCTGAATCCATCAAATAGAATTCACTCTGCCTAGCCAATAAAAGATCAATGTGCCCATCCTTCCAGAATGATGCCACGGCCGTGCCAACTCGAGGATTAAGTGGTGTATGAGGATCAGGGTCGACAATATACTCCAGCAAAAATGAACCGTATTCCTTGTTCGCTGGGTTCTCTGGCTCGATTTCCATCTGTCGCATTGCACCAACCAATGCCTTTGCACAATCAATCAAATTCTTGTAGATCGTTAATCGGTACAACGCCAACTCATCAATGGTGTAGCCATTCTGGTGTATGATTTTCATCTGCTTAACTATGGTTGATTTACCACTCTCGCCCGAGCCTGTTGCGATGAAGGTTAGCATTGAACAAGTTTTGCCTTTGTCTTTGAGATCTTGAAATGAATTGAAATATTCACCTAGTAGAAGGATTTTGCATTCTCTTCGGAGCCTTTTCGAATCCTCTTCCAGCTTCTTATCAATCATTTGACTCCTCTTTCTCTGTTCCGTGTCCTCCACATTCGAGCTCATACAAGCACCCATCCTATCCTGCTTCACCTGGCTGGCTGCTTCAGCAGCCCCCGCCTTTCCCTTTAAATACTTCGATGAGTGGAATCGCGATGATGGTTGTTCTCACGACTTATATATTATTCGCTGATTGCCTGCAAGAGTTGTGTCGTCACTTATTATTTGAGGTGTGACGTTATGCGTAGTCTCCGTCCCGTCCCAGTCCTAGTCCAACTTCAATATCCAACACGATTTCACGAGGCTATCAACTCCAATCCGTACAATTGTATTGTTGAAAAAGAAAATATTCGGACCAGGATTATTCGACTCGGGATTATCGTAAGTATAAATCGTGAGGCGGCTCTAGACAATGCGAATAAGATTGATCGATGATAGTTGAGGTTGTGACGAAAATAGACGTGAAGAGGATATATTATCGAAATGCCGTCAAGGACAGTACCGAGTCTCCACAACCCACTCAGAAAAGCGGATGGTTGAAGTTGTTAGTGAGACAGAAATCACCCGAGGCAAGCTCAATAATGATTTTTTTCTCTTCTTCTCCCTCGTTTTTTCTTGGAGGTCGGGTCTTTGATAGCGAACAAAGCTTATTGTTTGAAGATTTTTGTTTGAAGATTTTTGTTTGTTTCGTATGATGTTATATAATCTCTGAACGGTTTATCAATTGAGGTTTGATAGGTAGGTAGGTATGCTAGGTACGGAATCTTCTCGCGGTGAGTGTTTGTAGATCAAGAGAATGGAGAATTATATCAAAAGATGAGCAGGGGGCGAGAGAGGAGAGAGGAGAGAGGTTGGTTTAATTGATTGTCTGACGATGGTGTGGTGGGTGTGGACTGTGGACTCGAATGAATGGGATAATTTAGAGTTGATGGATGGATGATGGTCTTAGCTCAACGAAAGGCAAGGCGTATGATACTTGCTCTCTTTCTGCTGCGGTTCAGACAAGAATGGTATGGGGAAGGATTGAGATATAGTATCTATGGCATAAAAGGGCAAATGATATTAATGCCTTTTGAGTGTGGGATCTTATATGATGGGATGATGGGATGACGGGATGATGGAATGAATGGATGAACCTGAGTATAATATTTCTAGTATGATGATGATGATGATGATGATGACCAAATTTTCTAGATGAATAAGGTACCAGTTTGAGCTCCAGCTTGATATCAACAGTAGTAATAAGTAACGTAACCTTATGTAAATAAAAAGGACTGGGTATATATTGAATGGAAGCTAGGTAGGCAGGGTACCTGGGTGTTTATTACGAGTTTAACAATGATCCAAAGTCACCAGCCAGCCCGCCTTGTAAGTAGATCTGCAATTATTCGGAAATTTTATCAAATTTTCATTCAATTGAGAGGAGGATAAATGGATACTTAGGTGGGTAGGTAGGTAGGTAGATAGACAGGTAGATATAAGAGAGGTATGAGTAGAGGTAGGTAGATAGTAGATAGTCATAGTGAAGTATGAGAATTGCTTGACTGATGTTGATGATGTTGATATTGATATTTATGTGATGACTTCAATAATCGACGAGAAGGCCATCATTAGGTTTTGAATAGTATATCATTCGTTACCTAGGTATTTAAACAAACATTCGAAAGTCTGTCCGTTGGCCGTTTTTGATCTAATACCATCTGAGTTCCTACCTCGATATCTATCTAACTGCCTTTCCTTCAATATCAAATTCCAAATATAAAACCGAGAATAGCTACTTGCATATATAATAAAAGGTACAATAATAACATATGTAGGTAGGTGTACGATGTATTAAAGAAATATATAGATCTGACTAAAGAGGATCCATTCAATACGGCACAGTCAATCATTCATTCATTCATCCTCTGTCTAACTATACAAAATACCATCATCTCACGATATCTGTTTCCAAGTTGCTAACTTTCCCTTCCTCCCTCATTCTCATCAAATAAAGTCAAATCTCACTCAAACAAAGTCTGTGGACTACCCACCTAGTAGATATCTATCT